ATATCAGGCATAGCTTACTTGTAATCGTGAAGAAATATATGAGTATGAGCATCACAAAATCCTGGCATCGTCACTTTGCCACGAAGATCGATATCTCCAGTTGGGACAGTTTCTGCGAGGGGCTCTGAGCGTTGGAAGAAGTCGACGACGCATCCTGACGTTGGATCAACTGTGATGGAAGCGTCTGAGATGAAAGCCTTCTTTTTTGGATCGAACAGTGTTGATGTATGGATGGTGAACGGTTTCGACATTGTTTCAACTGTCAATTGAGATGAACGAAGTATTTTTGGCACGGCTGGTCCGACCACTAAATAATAAATGATTTTGTAAGTACTCTACACTGTATTCTATCAAAATGACAATATACCCAATTTCTCGCTTTGCTAATAGTTTCATCACCACGAAGCTGTCACAAATGTTGCTGAAATCCCACCTTGCGCGACAGCAGGGGTTCTCGACTTGCCCGAAATCTCCACCCGGATATCCTGCCGACCAGAATAGTGGGATACGGACTTTTGCTAGTGGCAGGCACAATCTAACGCTCAAATCCGTGGGGATTTTCTTAGAGATGCGCTTGATGACCGACCGTTCTACTCCCAGTTTCCAGGACCTTACCAATATGTGCAATCTACTAATCTCTCGGTTGCTAGGACTTGAGCCAATTTCAAAAAGATGTCATTCATCATTTCCCCACCTTCTCTCGCCTCTTATCGATGCTAGGATAGCGGGTGGAATATGCATACGGTTGATATAAGAGAAGTCTCATATCATTTCTTGTTTTGTCACAGAGCAGACACATCACTTATGTAAATCTTTTGTCATTGTTGTTTCAATATGCGTATTGACAGAAACACCACCCACACAACGATGGCGCCGTCAGCTGCACCCGAAGTTGATCTCAACAACGATAATAAATCCCAAGATGAAAAACGGAAAATCAGTAGCGAAGACTCTGGTAGCACAATGGAAGGACAAACTACCAGCAAAGCAGCCGATGCAGCTTTGCAGTTCGTTCATGAGCAGGCTATTGAGATTGACGAGGAGACTGACAAGAGAATCCGCCGCAAGATTGATTGGCATATTCTCCCATGGATGTGCACTTTGTATCTTTTGCAATATATGGATAAAGTCACTTTGTCATATGCAGCAGTGATGGGTATTAAAGAAGATACTCATCTCACCGCGTCACAATATTCATGGTACGTTTGAAGTTGCCATTTCCCCCTTACCTAACCTATTACTTCACAAGAGAGCTAGCATAGTTCTGATACAAATTCACAGGACTGGTTCGATCTTCTACTTGGGCTACCTTGCATTTGAATACCCACACAACAGACTCATGCAACGATTTCCAGTCGGGAAATACGTAGCAGCGAACGTGATTGTCTGGGGTGCAATGCTTGCTGCCACGGCTGGAACAACTAGCTTTGCTGGCATAATGGTCGTTCGATTCTTCCTCGGTGCTTTCGAGGGAGCTGTGACTGCTGGTAAGCCTTACCAGATTATGCTAGTCTACGATTTCTGACGATGAACACAGGCTTCGTATTGATGACCTCTCAGTGGTATCGTGCAAACGAGCAGACTTTCAGAACTGCAATTTGGTTTTCCTTCAATGGATGTACGTATCACCCAGCTTTCCTGTCAGAGTTTTACTGACTTGGCTCAGGGGCATCTATCGTTGGTGGAGCTCTAGCATATGGCATAGCCCGCGGATTCCGAGAAAACACATCCATCACCTTTGAGGCATGGAAAGCCTTGTTTATCATCTTTGGGCTCACTACATCGCTCTTTGGTGTGGGGATGTTCTTTTTCCTAGCAGATTCTCCGATCACTGCGAAGTGGTTGAGCGATGAAGAACGACGTTTAGCCGTAGAACGATTGAGAGGGAATCAACAGGGACTTGGAAGCAGGGTGTTCAAGTGGTACCAAGTAAAAGAGACGTTCACTGATATCAGGGTAAGCTATATTGCCGTGCGATACCAAAATGGGAAGAAGCTAACTGTCTTCGCAGACCTATTTGATTTTTCTATTCATGGTATGTCCTAAACACAGCATGGCAGAGCCAGCAACTAATTTGTATTTTAGGTCAGCTTGGATATTCCAAATGGCGGTATCACGGTTTTCTTCACCCAGCTGATTCAAGGTTATGGTTTCACTTCTGAGGAAACACTGCTTATTTCCATGCCTGGCGGAATTGTCCAGCTCGCTTCAAATGTCGGTATTCCATACATGGCTTATCGACTCAACCAGCGATACCTGAGCGGCTGTTTTGGCATTCTCTGCGGTATCTTTGGGATTGCTTTGATGGCCGGCCTTGCAATGGACGATCCTCTGAACAAGCGAATTGGCCAGCTTGTTGGGTATTACATGATTATCGGCAATTCTGCCACAGGTCTTATCATCATCCTAGGCACGATTTCGACAAATACAGCAGGTTATACTAAAAAGACGACTGTCAATGCGATCGCTTTGATTGGTTATTGTGTTGGTGAGTTGCACATACCCAAAACACTTTCCAAATCAGCAGGGCTAACTTGAAGTGTGTCTAGGATTCCTTATTGGACCCCAAAGCTTTCGAGACGGTCCATACTACGCTAACGCAAAATATGTCATGATTGGAATGTGGACGGTGGCACTCATGTTGATGTTGGCTCTGTGGTTTATCAATAAGCAAGAGAACAAGAGAAGAGATTTACAAGCTGCTGCTGAAGGACTTCCTCCTCAGCCCGCTGGACAAGAATTCCTTGACTTGACCGATAAGGAGAACAAGTATTTCAGATACGCGCTATAGTTTGTAGCATAATTGACAGAGATATGTTGGAATTACTTGAGATCTTTTTTCTTATCGATGTGACTATAATTTCTTGCTGCATATTCTTCCAATCGTACTTGGCTGTGTGCGTAAAAGGGATCAATTGCCAATCCCATTCATAATTCTGGTTTGACTGCTGAAGATCTTCATGAAGAATTAATATCGAAGCTTTCGTATAGTCTTGCAGACGCTGTTGTTGAAGCTGTGAGCCGTCATTGCCAGATAGAATCGCGAATGATTCGTTAATTGCTGTAGTGGAGATTTATCTATGGGTAAACACTTCCCACTTAAATATACGCTTATCGCTTAGCTTACCAAAATTCCAGTCTAGCACCGCCAGGGAAGCTTTTGTCCGGCGCCCGCCAATAAAATGTCATAGATCCAAGACCCAGCTCCCAACCCCATCATCGGAGTTGTGCACCAATCTCACCTCCACGTACGCGGGTATCCGTTGCTGATCATAATGCAGACCACGGAATGCAATTTTATTTTCGGCAGTGTAATGTGTCACTGATAGTTGATATCGATAATTTATACCAAATTTAACCTAACATCAGTCTCCTGTTCTCTCATACCTAGGTACATTTTACGGTTCCCTTTTTGACAACCCATCACATTCGAGGTGCACTTCGACTTGGCAAACATAACAACAACATCACAGAGGATGGAGCACCCCTCCATAAAAACAATCAAGTGCACTGGTACTCCTTACGAAATTGGGTTTACACATGGCTCCACTGCTGTGGAAGAAGTACTTTCCAATATCAAAACCTACACAAGCTTTTTCCAAGAAACAGCGCAGCTTACATGGAAGCAAGCGCGAAATCGTGCTTCTGAACAATTCATCCCTGTTTTGAAAACGAAATATCCGTCCATTTTGGAGGAGATGCGTGGGATTGCGGAGGGGAGCGGCCATGGCTTGCTTTTGGAAGACATTCTTGCGCTCAATGTTCGCAGTGAGATTGCTTTGACGAATTACGCGGATGGATGCACCACTTTAGCGCAAGCTGGTCCTGAAGGGAAAATTTTCCTAGCACAAAATTGGGACTGGATTGAGCAACTGCGTGACGGAATGGTTATTCTACATATACAGCCACCAACCGGACAAGGATATGAGACCAAGATTCTTTCTGAAGCTGGGATTGTGGGCAAGGTCGGGATGAACAGAGCTGGAGTAGGCTTGTGCTTAAATGCTTTACGATCTGGTGCACTAGACATTTCCGGCCTGCCAATTCATTGCATGTCAAGACGAATTTTACAATACGCAGGTAGCGTGGATGAGGCTCTTTCAATGATTGCAGAGTTCTCAATTGCCTCGACTGGCAACTATGTGGTCGCAGATCGTACAGGCGACTTTCTTGATATTGAATACTCCCCGCATGGGAACGTAATCATGCGAGCTTCAGCAGAAGCAAATTACGGTTATGTCGCGCACACCAATCACCTTTGCGGACCGGACCGGCCTGCGCAGCTGAAGGATCACCCGGCAGCGAATTCATTCTCAAGATTAAAAAGATTTAGAGAACTGACCGACGCTGACAACCGAGACAATCGAGAACCTTCATTCCAGAGTATTCGAAAGAGACTATCTGACGAGGAAGGATTTCCATACTCGATATGTAGAGAAAGACCTTCGGGAGCCGTTGGCATGGAGAGAATGACAACTTTGTGTACTATTATCATGGAGATGAAGAGCTTGACAGGCGTACTGACCATTGGGCGACCTTGCAAAGATTTGATACCAATAAAATGGTCGTTCTGATGAGAACATGTTAGGGTTCCCTTGTGGAGGCGAAGAAAAATAAAGTGAAAATGGCACCATGATTCGTTATATTCTGTGCTGTCACATAACACAAAACTTAACAAGGCCGTGCTAATTAAATTTTGTGATATGTTTTGTAACTTAAGGTCCAAGGTATAGATCAAGATAGGAAAGAATACGCATAGTATGGAATTTAGAAAGAACGCTTATTGTATTACAGTGGCAGTTTATAATTTACTCGAAATCTTGCCCGCCGCGACCAACATTCTTCCACCATCTACCACCATATTCGCACCAGTCATATAAGCACCCGCTTTTGACGCGAGATATAGTGCCGTAGCAGCCATCTCTTCTTCAGTTCCAGGTCGCCTAGCAGGCATATCATTGGCAAATTTCATGTTAGAATCCGGGTGCGCAGGGTCCATAGGATTCATGTTACTGGGAAAGAGTCCCGGTGAAATGGCATTGACACGAACTACTTTGTCTTAGTTTTGTTTTCGAAATAGCAGTGTATAATAGCACCAAGATTGTGGTAATTAAAACTCACTATAGTGATCAGCAAATTCTGCTGCCATGATTCTAACCAGGTGGTCTACAGCAGCCTTGGAAAGCTGATATGCAGGCACGAATTGACCATTATGTTTTGCAGCTACGCTGCTAAACATGATGACTGAGCCGCGACCGTCCCCTTTAGCTGCTGCCGCACCGAGCAAGTCTAATAAGCCCGCGGTGAGAAAGTATTGGGCATATAAGTTAATACGGAAGGACGCGTCGAGATCTTCGTAGGAAAGCGAATTTGTTGCTTTCACGAGATCTGAAAGACTTTCACCTGGAGTGAACGCAGTTTTGTTGACTTTACGTATACCAGCTGCGGTGACAAGAATATCAACCTCATTATGTGTTGCTTTGATTTGGGAGATGACGGACTTTAGACCAATTTCGTGGCCGAGGTCGCCTTGGATTCTGAGTTGTATGTCAGTTAACGATATCAGTTTCATTTTCCCAGATGGCATGACTAACTTCCGGATCTGCCCAGGGAGTTTAGACTTCTGTTTCAGCTCCAAAAGTTCAGCTTCAACGACATCTAGACGATGTTGGAACTGATCGATGATCGTGACCGATGCACCGTTAACAAGTAAGCTCTTTGCAACCATCCGACCAAGTCCGCCGCCGCCGCCAGAAATTACAGCTGTTCTATCTAGAACGCTGAAAATAGTTTGGGATTTTAGATCCGCCATAGCCGTTGATACATAAGATACCTATGAATTCAATCGCTTGGTGTTTAAATTCTTTTCCAATATCAATTAAGCAGAAAATCATTTCCCATAGAGTTGCACTACTGCAGTTGTTATCACTCAAGAACGACTTAATCTTTCTCCACTTATTGATATTTCAATTCGCACATCTGGGGTAATCTATATCCATGTTGGGTTGTGGGGCACACGGAGAAGCCCGTACGACGATAGATATTCTATGCGGAAGTCCGCCGTGCAGTGATTCAACCAAAACTACGTACGCATGGGCATGACAATGGTCTCCATGTATGATAACTAGAAGGAGTATTGGAATCCACTATTCAAACTGACGACACGTCCAACAAATTACTTTGGTTTGTGGTTAAAGGATAACAGGCACTACTCACACAAACCTCTTGCAAACCGACAAAATCATCATGACTTTATTAAATTTACTGCCAGACAGTAACTTAATCCTGCCAATTACAGTGCTCATCCTGGGAATTGGCCTTTGGCTTTACAAACTGGCGTACTTTACCGATATCCCCAAGCTCGCAAACATACCCGAAATTTCAGGCGCGATTCCATTTTATGGGCATCTTAAAGTTTTAGGAGATGACCATGCTTCAGCCTTCGAAGATTTTGGAACAAAGAATGTCGCACCAATCGTCCAGGCAAAGCTCGGAAATAGACGAATCGTCGTGCTGAATAGCTTCGAGGTCGCACAGGAATGGATCGTTAAGAATGCATCTGCGACAATTGATCGACCGCTATTCTATACTTTCCACGGAGTAATCAGCCAATCGCAAGGTAATTTGACACACGGAAACAGACATGAATGTTTTGCGAAGATCTGACAATTCTACAGGTGGGACGGTGGGTACGGCACCATGGAGCGAAAGCACAAAACGACGAAGAACTGCAGTGGGAACAGTCATGACCCGGCCAGCAATACAAAAGGCTGCTCCAATGATTGATCTGGAAACTAGTTCACTTGTTCAGGATATGCTCAGCGCTGCCAGTGGTGTTGACCATGATGAACGCCTCGAAGTTGACCCAAGAATTTTCTTCCAGCGCCTTGCTCTGAATGTAGTACTGATGATGTGCTATGGATTTCGCATAGCGGATATCGATGACCCATTATTACATAACATTTTGAATGTTGCTCATAGTGTATCAACGTGAGGCGTTCTGGAATCCAAAGAAATTACGAAGCGTCTCTAACTGAAGATAGTTTCCGCTCAACGAATATGAATCCCCAAGACTATGTTCCGTTTCTCCGTTACCTACCTGCCAACGAACGAAGCAAGATTGCAATCAAAGACCGCGAGCGGCGCGACATCTGGCTGGAAGAGTTGCTCCAAAAGGTGCAGACAGCAATTGACAATGGAGAGGAAGTTTCTTGTTTGTCCGAAGGCTTGCTGAAAGATAAAAGCTCCGAGAAACTTACTAAAGGTATGCCACATGATTGAATGAAACTGTAAAAGGAATATTTCTAATGCAGATACTAGAGGAAATAAAGTCTATAAACGTCTCACTAGTCTCCGGAGGCTTTGAAACGGTCTCCACGACTGCTGCAGCTGGCCTGGGCTTTCTTTCGTCCCCCGAGGGTCAAGATACTCAAAAGCGAGCCTACGAAGCAATCATGGAAGTCTACTCATCCGATGAAGAGGCTTGGGAGAAATGTATTTCCGAAGAGACGGTTCCCTACGTCGTCGCCTTGGTAAGAGAAATGCTACGGTACTATGCTGCCATTCAGCTGCTCCCTCCACGCCAGACAATGAAATCTTTTAATTGGAGAGGCAATATGATTCCCAAGGGGTTGAGCGTCTACATGAATGCACAAGCGATAAACCATGGTATGTAATACCTGACAAAGCCGAAAGCAGTGTGCTAAAATCTAAGAGACAAATCCGCGTACGGACCGGATGCTCACATTTTCCGCCCAGAGCGTTGGCTCGAATCAGAAGGCTTTGCGCCTCCTTTGCCGTATCATTATTCTTTTGGTGCAGGTTCCCGGATGTGCCCGGCTGTATCTATCTCGAATCGGCTCCTGTACGCAACTTTCGTACGTTTGTTGGTACAGTTTAAGATAACCGCATCGCCTTCAGAACCGCCCAACACCCATTATATCGAGTACAATCGCGAGAAGGAAGGCGCGACGGCTATGATGAAACCCTACAAAATTTTACTGCAGCAGAGAATGAATGAAGAGAAGTTGATGAAGAACTTAGCAGAGACCACAGCGGCCACTAGAAAATAGGGAGGTAGTCCGTCAGTCATAGCTTGCACTACAACAACATCGTGATAGATTGATCTGAGAGAGCAGTTTCTGAATTCCAGAATTAGAGATATTTAAAAGAGAGCATAAAACAATTGCCGCGAAAGAAATGTAAGATCTGAAATCATTGTTACGAAACAGTATAGTTGCTTCAAGAGTGATCGAGGCAAGGCTCATAGAAACAATAAACTCGGCACTAATGATAAATATAATATAAGCCAGTGAACAAGTATGAACCTGCAATTGGATAAGAGGATGAGCTATAATTCCGTCAATGTGTCCCAATACAGTAAGAGAAATGTATCCCAAACCTCGGTATAGTTCGTTCCATCACCCCAACGCTGCGCAATAGATGACAGCAAGGATGTGCATTTATGCAGTGGCGTCATAGCAGTACTCAGTCCGATTCCAGACAAGCCACCGCCAAGTGACTGTGTATGAACCATAATCAGATAAGTTGCCCACATAGCTCCAGCTTGAAGTATGTGCTCGGCAGCTATCCATAGACTGATAATCTTGGAATCTTTATTCGCTTGAACGTAGTGATCTATCACTCTTGCAGCAGACCTTGAAACAACATACAATAGGTCAGTCGTTGGTTTGTCTAGACATATTGTATGTTGCTGCTTCGACGAATAGAGAAAGATGATTTCAGGACATGTCGTGAATAGAGGATGCAAAGCCAGATAGACTGTGGCCGTGACAAAATCGAGCACTTTTTCAAGCCCTTGGGGGGCTAGACGATGTCGAGTAGGAACCAGGTCATCGAGAATACGCTGTGATGGTACATGGTTGTTATTAAGATATTGCCTAGATATGCGAATCTGTTTATATGCAGCAATCGAGCTGTAATCTAAGCGTGATGCTCCAGCGTCATCAAAAGACGACAATGAAGATATTGCAGTGTATCGGCTTGGCCTCTGGAAGTGAATCTCAACGACGCTAAAGGTTAATGTAAGCTAGAACAAAACGTTGACTAGGGAAAGTATATACCTTTCCATTTTCATGAGACAATATTCCAACCGTTTGAACTCATCGTCGAGAGGATACAGCGAAGTTTGATATTCGGCTCGAAGCTGCTCCATTAGAGAAAATGCGCGACCGAGCACAGCATAAGCTTGGCCCGAGGCAGGTTGTGTCAGCTCGCAAAGAGCTGAGAAGCTAAAGGCTGTAACCAAATGCTTCACGGCTTCCAACTGAGTATTCTCTAGATCTACGACTGACTGAGAGGCTTTCCGCACATTTCGGGTAAATGCGAGAGCCACAGTAGTCAATGCTGGCTCTTGGTCCCGGGCTAATAACGTAGCACCTATAGCAAAGACCGAATTTATTGCTAACCCATCCGAGGCAGACGTATCGCTGCCCCACCGGCGGACAGGGTTTTCTTCATTCAAGAATTCAACTTCCTGCCCCAGTGAAAGCAACGGATACTCGGGCTGGACAACCTTCAGATAATGCTCGATCAGCGCTCGTTGGGTTGATGATTGTATCTGGGTATCGGGCTTTTTTGGATCGATAAAAATGTGAGACATCGCTGTAGTACCTTTGTTGTGACTTCGAAGTTCCGACAACGATTGCAACGCTTGGCGACACGGTGAATCCGTCTCATCCATATCAGCCGTGCTTGCCAAATGCCTTTCTGCAAGTGCAATGAGTAGCCGCTCCAACAGTCGCGCAGAGGTTAGGGGACCGATATAGGTTGTTGCACACGGAAGGTTCCCGAATGCTGTTCCCGTGACACCAACATGGTATTCCTCTGTTGAATTTCTTTGAATCGGAGTGGTGCTACCAATATTGTTTGACTGAACGCCTTGCTCGTTGACGATCGCCTCAATTTCGGACTGCAATTCGTGAATCTGCTCCTGAAGGGAATAAAGGTATCTGCCAACGACATCTATGTTAGAAAAGGATATTACAATGTCGCGTAGAAAGTGTGACTTACCTTCGAGGGATGTTTTGTGCTAAAACATCATCATAGTAGATGCATTCAGAATCCGAACCAGAGCAGTTTGCACATTGAGGGAGTTCCTCGTCGCAATTGGGGGCCCTTAGCACTTGCACGAATGCCTCTTGTAATTTCCGGTTGACTCACTTTGATTCGTCTTTTGCGACATCGCATACATGTTGGGACAAGTGTTGCAGTGCTGGAATTCATGTTGTGGGCGCCGTCGAGGTGACCATGGGTGATGGGAAATCAAATGGTATCCCATGTGGAAGCGGTCCGATCGAGCCTCAAACCAAGGAAATGGATTTCAAAGTTTCAATGCAGAGCAACGTTGCGAATATTCGCACAACGCGGAATCGAGATAATCGAAGATCGGTTATTATTGTCTATCGAGAAAGTTACGACGCGAGTGAGGCGACGTGCCGAGGTGAAACGAGCCCTTGAATTTGCTTACGTAATCCACCCGTTCGTCGAGGCAACTTAGGTGAGAAGGATATGATTTATTTATTCAAATTGGCATCCAAATGTGTCCCAAAGCCGAATGCAACAAAATGCAACACAGATGAAGCACACGGTGTCAAGTGTCTACTCTAGAGCTGGGCCATTCTTGTGATCTAAACACGACCAATTCTGTGCTCCCACAGCTCCCCACCTTTGATCCACAGATCCACGATGGAAAGTGGAAAGTGGAACAGCTGAGTCGTGGAACATAGCTACTTGCCACTCCTGCTCATACCGACTATGGCTTTTTGTTCCGACGATTTCAGGCCGACGAGGCGTAAAGGGTCACGAAAGGGCAGTCTTAATGCCTCCACTTAAAGGCAAAACCTATCGAAGGGCTACGAAAAGCTGCGCGCGATGCCGAAAAAGAAAAATAAAGGTCTGCTGGAAACTCGCTTGGAATGCTCTGTGTTGTTAACAATAATAGTGTGACAATGTATATCCCACCTGTGGCATGTGCCTTGGTGCGAATGCAGACTGCATTGGATTCAACCCCGGACAAGGAACCGAAAGACCTCGTAGCACAGTCTCTTATTGGGAAGACCAGGCGGCTCAACTTGACATTGAGCTGTCACGATTGAGATCCGAGCAGACGCCTAATCGCCTCGACCAAGTGCGTCTGGGTATCGAGAAGCTCACCACCCGCCTAGCGGCAACCATTGGCAGTCCTCAGATGTCAAGTCATACGAAAAAAGAAGATATCGCAAGTCTGTCGTTGATATCACCTAATTTCCTTTGCCCATGCCCATCGCCTCTGTTCCGTGAAAATGCGGCAGCGACTGTTGCAGAACCTCTACAGGACGAACAGCTCCCGAAAAGCATAAAAATCTCTGCGATCCCTCGCCACGTGGTAGATATCATGCTGAACAATTACTGTGAGATTTATCTGAAGCAGTATCCTGCCGTGGAAAAAACAGAAATTCATAGATCTTGTGATATGATCTACAATGGTGCAGCTGTTTCACATTACCATGTAACGATTGTTGCTTTGGCTCTCGCAATCAGTGTAGGTAGGTTTCTGAGCAGCAACTAAACCCATGCTAACAGCAGCAGGTAATAACGCTGATGCGATATGATGAAGTCCGTGCTATTGCAAGAGAGAAGGATCTATGGGCCACGGCTGTTGAACATCTTCAATATAGTGACAGCATGAACAGCTGGCAAAGACTTCAGGTACTACAGCTGCTAGTACATTACAGCTATATCAACCCAGCCCTCGTGAATGGTAATAATTGCGCATCAGCTGCAACTAGGCTTTGCGTCCAGTTTGGGCTTCACCGGGAGCTCCCAGCCTCGGAGCAGGTCAAGTACAATAGCTCAGTGCTCGATACTCGACGGCGTCTCTTCTGGCATTCTTATAGTATTGATGCGTATGTTGCTTGCATAATAGTACTAAGAACTGACTAACACGCATTAGGGCTGTACACCACATCCTGTGTCTTCCTTATGTTTGGCCGGCAGGCGTGATCACGGCCAAGGTAATTTTATCGCTTCTCAATAGTCAGATGTCTTACTGAATCTACTAGTACCCCGACTTTGGGATTAAACAGTCTCCAACTGCCCAATTTTGGTCTATCAGGCAATTAGAGGCGGAAATCACGAGCAAAATGTATTACCCTCATACCATTTCCGACATCCAAACATCCAATGAGAAGTTTCAGGATTGGTTTACGACCATGCACTCTCGCCTTGACAAATGGGCCAATGGGTTACAATCAGAAACCGCCAACACAATTGAATTCCATGCCATAATGTATCACTTTGCAGTCTTTCGATTGAATCGACCTTCACCTCGCTGTCCAGAACCAACACTGGACATGCGAAAACGAGCTCTGGATTCAATCCTGAAACTTGGAAATGAGTATGAGCTACAAGCACGTCACGGAAGGATGTTCTACGTCTTCCATGCGGCTCACTATCTTGTTGAACTCGGCATCAGTCTTCTTGAGTCTGTCATGAGTGCTTTAGAATTTTCCGAATTTGGTCCTACTCATGTTGATGGCATTGATGTCACTGTTATCAAACGAACGGTTCACATTATCTCATCGCTTTTACGGAATATAATCAAGCGGTGGCCTGCCATCCAAAATCAACTTACTGCTTTCGATAATGCATCTGGCCCTGTTTTATCTGATCTCGAAGAGTGGGTAAACGGTAACAGATTGACTAGGTCGCAATATACCGCGAAGAGACAGCAGTTCTCACAGTTTCTCCTTCCTCGTATTTTACAAACCCGCCCAGACGTGGACTATAATGCGCAAAATCCTTTGACGCCGAACGCAAATGACAAATTTCTGCTAATACCGACAAGTTTGACCGTGGACCAAGAATCAAGTGTAGAACACCAACCTGCGAATCAGCTCATTCCCAGCATTATCTATACACTCAACCAACCGACAGAACAGACTTTCAGCTTTAACCCTACCGACAACAATCCTCTGAACATGGCCTTGAACTCGAATCAGTTCTCCCTTTTTGCAACAGATCAATCGCAAGAAGTGCCTAATCTCGGAGTGGTTACAGGGGACGAGTCATTATACAATGGAGTCTTGGGAATAGATTCTGACCTGATTTTTGCAGCGCTTCTTGGAGGGCAAGAAACAATGTTATAATGAAGCGTACCTTGAGTCCGCAAAGAATGTCTTAATATATTCTCAATTTCGCGACGGCAATACGCTAAGTGAAGGAACTCCCGCCCGAATGCATTCCACCCTTTGCCGCACGGCGTTTACGGCTTGATTTCCTCAATTGAAGTCATAGCCATTGCTTAGGTCTTGCATCTGGCTTTACGGCTCGGCGCATCTGTTTGGTATTGACCGCTTCGGAACATACAGCAGTAACGATTTATGAGCGAGATTGTTTGTAAGCACATTATAAATTTCAGTACTCTGATTCTTCAGCCTACGAAAGAGCTTTTGAATCTTATCATTCTGATGGCTGTCAAGAATTCTTACCAAGCATTTATGCTCGCTTCTGGAGCTGATTGGACAGAACCATTTGAGATTTACTGCTCGGGATTCCATTCTTAACCAGATTTCACACATCAGGCTTTTCAACGATCAAAATCACAGTGTCTATTCCCAACCTTCCTCATTGATTCTGCAATGGGAGGCTGTCATCGTGCAGATGTATCAGTATCAAAAGTACACCAAACCTTCTCACATGACCGTGGGATAATTGTTTAGGAAATAAGGAAACCGTTACTAGGAGTTGAAATTCGATCGATATAACACTGTAACCGTACAATTCATCATAACACAATCAACACCCCAACCCCCCAACAAAAAACCTTTCCACACTTGGAGTGACGTACTTCATCATGACACTAGCGCTTTTTGTTTTTTAGGTACACTCTAAACCCTTGGCTTGATATCTACAAAAAATAGAAACGAGGTTCTTTCCACCGAGCGAACCGCACCCTCAAGTAGCCGCATTTGCCAAGGTTCCCTACCAAGTTCAAAAAGTGGGCACTCCATCAAATATGTCGCTCCTCGATCTAGAAATTAGTGTATTAATCCGACTTTTGATACAATTACGACGAAACTGCGAATTCTTAAGTTCTTCAAGTTGTCAAATTGTACAATATTCGCTTGAAGACTTTTTGAATTAAGTTGGAAAGACAAAACCGTTTCCATGGAAATGGATTTGGCTAGCGTGCTGACTAGAAAGCTATGACCGGTAGCGCCCTTGAAGTGACTACCAAGAATACTGATAAGATAATATTTCGATGTTTTTGAGAGTGGGATACGACTGTCAATAACTCGAGAGTGGGATTTGACGCCCCCGAGTCATGACAGACTGCCTTATATCGCTCTTTCGAATAGACGGTTCACGTTGCAGACTAGAAGCTCGCAACTTATAAGAGCTCGTTGGCCCTTTTCTTTTTCGGGGACGCAAATCACACGCATCCATTCGGGATATTTGCGATACAATACAGACTTTAATCAGAAACCGAATCTCGACATGCTCACCTCAAGACTGTTCCTGATCTGCGCCTCGATTGTTTCATTTTGCATTGAAACCTCTCAGGCTACCTGCAATGTCACCCACGTAGGAGATACTGAAAATCTCCTTCTGCGAGGAACCATATTGACTAGTAACGGTGCGCTATGCGATAGTCATGTTCTGGTCGAGTCTGGAAAAATTACATATGTTGGTTCAGGTCATGACTTGGGGTGTATGCTTGGTCAAAAGAATGTGACCGTGGTGGATTGCATCGGCTCAGTCATCTCTCCAGGATTCATCAACACACATGAGCACATAGGCTACTCAACTATCACACCCCTCAAGGACATTGGAGAACGAACCAACCAGCGCCACGACTGGCGCGTCGGCGCTCGAAATTTTACAAGACGACCGGCTCCAGTAAATGGCAGCGAATATGATGCCACGAAATGGGGTGAGCTACGACACATATTTTCTGGCACCACATCCATTGTCGGTGGGGAAATGGTTCCAGGTCTTGCACGAAACCTAGACTTTGCTTCTGGACTTGAGGATGGTCTTTTTGCTCCAACGGCAACATTCGATGTCTTTCCACTAAACGATGCCAGTGGAATTCAGAGACTTGGAAACTGCGATTACGGCGCCGCTGCGATTACTCAGGATGAAGCTGGGAGATTGTACAGATATCTTGCTCACGTTGGCGAAGGTGTTGACGCTGTGGCGGAAAATGAATTTCAGTGTCTTTCGAATTCGACCTTTGATGTTACCCCGCTTACGGATGGTGGTGGGTTGAGCACCGATATCATTGCTCCAAACCTAGCGTTGATACATGCCTCTTCTCTCACCAATGAAGACTTTGATCTTGTCGCCGCAAGAGGGGCAATGGTTGTATGGTCACCACGGAGTAATGTTTTCTTGTACGGAAAAACGCTCAATGTTACCTATCTTCTCGACGCCGGAATTACAGTTGCGCTCGGAACAGATTGGTTGCCTTCCGGATCTGCAACTATGGGTAGAGAAGCAGTCTGTGGTCGTGATGTGACCCAAAAAGACTACGATATCGGTATCGCTCCTCAGGACATCTGGGAAATGATGACTATAAACGCAGCGAAGGTGGCTGGTTTTGAGCATCAACTTGGTTCTTTAGATGTCGGCAAATTAGCTGATATTGTTGTGTTTTCTGGCGATGTTCAGCAGGGGGACGCTTTCGCGCAGGCTGTGTACGCACCCTCAGACAATCTGCAGCTGGTTTTAAGAGGAGGAAAGATTCTAGTTGCAGGCGAGGGATTGGACATTCTTGCAACTGAGGGCTGTGAAGCTGTTTTATGGGGAAGCGTCACGAAGTCTATCTGTGTTACGGACGCCGTAAACTCGACATTTGCGGAGTTCGAAGCGGTTCTTGGTGGGGTGTATCCTGCAATTTTACCAGGGATACCGGATGGAGAGCCGACTTGTGTATCTACTCGATAGAATGTACATTTATCGGATTAGTACGCTATTTAGTCTATTGTTATAAATTACTAAATACTATTTACTTAGAAAATTGTATAACCCTAAGCTTTATAATTAAGTAGAAATTCTAGTTTAAATATTAATTTATATAATTATAAAACTAGAAATAAAAAATAAACTCTAGATCTTTTTTTCTAGTTTTATTTATACTTTACTAAATAATAATTTATTACTTTATCTTTTAGTATATTTATAATTATAGATCTTAAATTTACTAATAAGAATAAAAAATAAAAGCTAGTAATTATACTTACTATTATTAAAGTTTAAACTACTTAATAAATTAAAGAGTATTATAGCTTAAAGAATAAAAGTATATACTAATTTAAGTAGTAGTAATTTTATATAGAAACTAAAGTAAAAGAGAAATAAAAAATACATAGTAAAGAATTTTAGTTTTAAGTTTATTAAACTTAATTAATAAATAATTATAATATTTAGTTAATTATAAAGTCTTTTAAAGAATTACTCTACTTATATACTAAAGAGAAATAGATTTATTTAAACTCTAGTACTACTATAGTATAAAATAGAAACTTAAATAAAAGACTAGTTCGAAAAGAATAAGGCCTTAGCTAAAATTAGGCGGTGTAGAGGTAATATATGCGAGTACTCTGTACGGAGAGCTAGCGGTGAAGATTTCCCAGCTAAGAAGACGGTTGTTGTGTCGAGGTTAAGCAGCAGTGTGATCAATATGCGACAGCTTTGACTACGAAATTCGAACCTGGGGAATGTGATCGCAATCAAGGGCACCTGCAGCTTCTCGACTTTCGCCCGTTTGCTTGCCATGGTTATATGTCCCGGGAAGACAGTTGACCTTCGAGGCCCTCCCTTCTAACATCTGCCACCTCCCAATATCTTTACTACGACTTTCTCAACACATCTGCACACCCTTTAGCCTACCGCACCGGTGTCCTCGCTCTTATTATGGCCACAAGAACAATGCCAGTGTATGTAGAATTACAATTACTACGTGATATCGCAGTGTACTGACCAACCTATTAGTAGAACACGTTCCCAGACCGCTCTGGCAAGACACCACGAAATTGTAGAGTCAATATCGATGAGACAAACACTGCTACGGTCCGAACCTGTCGCGATCGAAAGAGCAAGCGAGCCTAAACCCTGCGAGACTGATCGATTTCCATTTATGCGACTTCTAATCGAGGTCCGTCTCATGGTTTACGAGTATGCAATCGCTGGCCAATACGTATACTTCTGCTCTAGAAGTGCAGACTCTCCAACAAATATACCACTAATGATGGTTTGTCGCCAGATTCACCAGGAGATCCGCCATGTGTACGAGGACTATACAATCTAGTTATGCCACTGGTCCTATGATTTCCCTGATCATAGGATTAGCGACATGAGATCCTGGACCAACAACTGGCGTTTGCTCAACATTCGAATTATGAACCTCGAGTGGCGCGATCTTTCTCATCGCTCTCTCGACAGCAAATATATAGAAGTTGAAACCTTAGTTAAGATGAGCCTGGGTTTGTCATCGAGCGTTGAAGACCGGGTCAATTTAAGCGTCAAGAGATGGCACACTTGTGGTGTAGGGCCGGCAACACCTTTTACTGCGGAAGAGTATCACGACTGGCTGTTTTCCACGTGCCAGGCTTTGGCGGAGCAGCTTGCCTAGAAGAGGAACAGCAAAACGTTACATTCGGTAGATGTCTCGGATGCCTTTTGGGCCATGTCAAAGGGTCGGGCGAGTGATTACGGTAACCCAGCAGGACTGGAGGAGTGGTTATGTGTATGTTAAAGACAGACTTAGCAATAGTCTTGTACAGCGGTTTCATACACCCAGGTTGGCTGGCGCGGCGCATTCGTTTAGAGGCTTCTTAAGAAGTGTTTGGATACGCCAACGATAGATTGATAATGCTAAAGAGTGCCGCTTAAGGAGTGTCTAGATACGCCAACGAGGGCGAACAACAATGCCGTGGAGTTGTTTTGCATTGTTGGAGAGGGGTGGTGGAAAGTCAGAGGGAACGGTTCGGAAGATTGTTGTGTTATGACTTTGTGTTTGTTTAGTCTCCTTTCTCTACTCTACTTATCCAAATTGAATATTACTATAAATCAAAAGTCTTTTGCTCCTTAGTGCCTCTGTGTATTTCCTAAACTGTTCGTTAGCCAAGAATCTTTTATCTCGTGATTTATACCCTTTAGATCAATATATCGAGAACATCTCGCCACTTAGGACGAGTTACTACTTTATACTAAGAGCTTTTCCTAAAAGGGTATACCCCTTACCAAAATTGATGGTAAACAGGGAGCCACGGTTGCGTTGTGTGAGACGGTACTGTTATAGACACAGTAGTTTTCGCAAGTACCTCAATTATACGCTCTACACATGTGGACACAAACGATGTGAAGGGTGCGTTAAAGGCCAACCACCTAATCTAGACAGGTGGGGATAAATCCGAAGAGGAGATGAAGGACGGAAGCGGTGGGCAGATGGAAATATCCGTCTTTTTGGGTTAGTTTTCGGGGGGAAGTCCTTTATTGGTCGCATTGGCGCTACAACCATTTGTAAATGCTATATAGTTGTAATAAATTCTAGTTGAAATGTGCCCGTTTACTGTGGTGAGACGACACGAGTTTCCCTAAGCCTTAACATTTCCTAAAGGATGATCACAACCGTGCATTAGCTTTTAGGAGCCGACTCCGGGTTCTTACTCCTCGTAATCTTTCTTGTCCTTTTGTTCGGGATAAGCGTCTACTTTATACCTATTCTACTTTATCTAGACCACAAGGCCTAGGCTACAGAAGACGGCTTAACTAAAGTTAAGGCTTATTACAAAGTCAATTAAATATAAAGCCTACTAACTCGTCTTCGGGATATTGTCTTCACACTAGAAGCTCTCTCTACAGCCGAATAACTCTCTAATCACATAATAAGGGATGGAACTACTCTCTCTTAGAAGGAGTCAAGATTGTTTGTCTCGAAATCTTCGTTCTCTTGTAGAGTTAGTATTGTTCGTAATCCACGCCAGCCAACTCTTCAATATTTTATATAGGCTCTCCTAAAAGGTGAGTAGAACCTCTTATCGTGGGAATGTATTGCTAATAGAATTGTCTTCTCTAGATACTCACCGTAACCTCCACCTTCTGTCTAGCAAAAGCGCGAACCAGATGCCTAATAGAGAAGTATTCCTATCGACCTTATTCAATTTACGCCGATCCATCATTATGTCTGTGTGATAACTAACCGCACATCCTCGAGTAGTTGATCAACAGCCTTGCGCCACTTAAAAATGCTGTAGGGCGACTTTGATGCGGTATATTAAGGTTTACATAAGACGAATTCAAGTCCAGAGCTAGGTTTAGAGCTGACTCTCGCGTCGTCATTGCTGCAATCATTATTTTCTTCGTCAGTCAGCGGCGATGTAAGAGCATTTAGTATACAGAATAGGTGATATTACTCGAAGAATTTCACTTTCCTCTCTAGGGTTTCGATGTAGGTTTGCAGAGTTTTAATATCGGAAGACATTGTTGAAATTGATAATTTAAAATGTAGAGCTACCTGGCGATGTTGTTGTTACCTTACAAATAGAGCGCTACACCTAAACAGGCTTGAATTAGGTATTAGCTTGAATTGGATAGCAACTTGAATTGGATGGCAGCTTGAATTGGATGGCAGCTTGAATTGGATGGCAGCTCGGGGTAGAGTCGGCAACCTCCATTAATCGACCTATATCAAAGCTGGATCACAGACCAGGGATTTACCTAACTGTAATGCGGTAATTTTATCCTAAGTAACCTCTACTTCGCTCTTCCGTACAAAACGCTCCCTTTATGCCTTAATAATGTTTTTATAACTTATTACATGTGCTTTTGCCACTACCGTGGACGAGGTTTGGCTCCGTCGTTCTGTCTAAATAAGCGTCGGTTTTCTTTAAATATATTTAGTGAAATATATTTGGGCGGCGCTGGGGCAGACCTTTATAAGGTGCGCGGAACCGTAGAAGCATCCAGATTTGTTGCGATGGGATTCCAATAGTAACTCGAAGTACTGTTGCATATTTCGATTATTGATCGAATTTGCTGCACAGTATGCCATAAGTTCTGTCTAATGATGGCACTCTTCCAGCACAGCTTATGTCCACGTGAGTCGAAGTCGAGAGTATTGTATAGCTAAGGAAAAAGTTGAGATTGGTTTGTGGATAGGTGGGCCGTAGGGGTCGTGGAAACGCGCCAGGAATCTTCTAGGAGTATGTCTATCCTGCACCGAGGAGTTTTTAAACCTTCTTACACACAGAGCAGTAGACACAGGGCGGAAGCTTGTCGTCTAGGCACGTGTAATGTTTTGTTGCCTTCAACAACGATGAATCGATGAGTTGAGTGTTTGTTGTATTTTTGTCTTCCACCCAGAGAGTTAACATTATTAATACCTACTATTTCCCTTCCTTTAATCTTAACAATATCGACTAATCTGTGGTAATTGGCGTGGACCGCAATCTTCTGTTAGAAACAATTGTTATTCTGTTAATAAGTAGAGCAAATTAAAGCCTCACAGAACCGCGTCGGCTGCTGCGGCAATTTTCATCTCCTAAATACATTGTTCGAAGAATTTTAGGTTATCTTTATTTTAATTTCATTGTTTACTAATACTCTCCTAACTACATATTATTCTACGGCAGCCGCCGCTACCATGAGATTTCAACCAAAGTTTTGGATGAGGGCAGGTCACCTTCTACTCTAATTAAAAACTAAAGTTTAAGGAAGCATACTTGCCCTATACTTCCTCGTACTTTTCAGACTTAAACCAAAGCTTTAGATGAGGGCAAGTCACCTTCGGCTTCGATTTAAACCCAAATATTTAAGAAGATAGTACGAGAAAGCATACTTGCCCTATACTTTCTCGTACTGTCTACTTAAACAGCGGATTAAAATTGCACGACAAAGTCCCCAACATTTACAAACAATAGACTACGCTTCTCAACTCGGTGGAG